AAAATGCCTTACTCTGATTCCTGATCCCAATTCATCATTGTAATTCCTGATCCTATTTTGAAACTACCAATTGGTCAGATTTTCTCAAATTTAGTTTAGTATCACTCAGGCACCGTCCATGCGTACTAGTCGCAACGAGTAATCATACATTCATCAGTGATATTTAATTCGAAGTCATTCATTATGCCCAGTTGAAATTTCGCCAAACATCTTGTTAACTTTTCAGATCCATGCATCACTTCTGCCGTTTCTATGAACCATGGTATATAGTATGTCATGTATGTTTTACGTTCCGTTCTCCACTCTACTCTATCTAATGTTGAGTATTATGTCGGCCTCAAGTGAGTTCTTGTTATCAAACTACAATCTATAATGTTTTTCACATCGTTCGTTAAATGTAGTTTTGATAATTTCTGTTCTCCCCTCGAACGTTCTGCAATCTAAAGGTTAATTTTCATGAATACTTTATGAAATCATGTTCTGGTAAAAAGCTGACATCAGCAAACCTTTCTTTAATCATACTTTCTGATAAAAATATCATCTAGCTTTATCTATCCGAAAATTTTTTTTTGTTTAATATACATTTGTATTGCTAACGGTATCTTGTTACCTTTGGTTTTACTAACGGACAGACATCTAGGTTTCTTAACTATTAATTTTTTTTGGTATGTCACTATTAACCTAGTGTGTCAATATATTTTGTGTAAGCTCCTTTTGTTTGGGTACCACCACAAATTTGGTGAGTCCGTAAATTTTTTTTCCCTTGAAACTACTTTTGAGTTCACTAACAGATATTGCGGCGTTATTTTACCCTTGGTAGTATTTAATTTTTTGTATATTTGTAATGTACACTTCTGAAACTGAAGGCACCATCCAGGATATGGTATCTTCCCTAACTGAAAAATTTCTTTTGGTTGTACCTTTCCGTTTCCCTCATTATTATTACTAGTAGTAGTAGTAGTAGTACTAGTATTAGTATTAGTATTAGTAGTAGTATTAGCATTACATTACCTTACACTAATCTGGTCGTTATTGTTCCTCTTTTTTCTTTTACGCTCCTTACCTTAATTTTTTTCTCTTCGAATTCTCATTGTTTTGTGTGGCGCATATATATTTGGTGCCACCTTGTACCAATATTTATGTGTCCAAATAAAATAAAATAAATAATAATAAATATCTAGTACTTCTTCATCCAGTTGCATTATTTCTGGGATTCTTAGTTCGTACTATAATTCAAATACTCCTAATTTTCACACTCTGGTTGATTCGTCCATGAACTATGGTCCTGTCGATTACTCAGAAAATTGTCTCTCATTCGATTTATTATGAGCTTGAACAGAATAAAGCAGATATTTTATAAAGTAGTCTCACATATTGGAACAAGTATTTCTGTACGATGATGTCAGTGAATAGAAATTCAACACTAACTGTTTAAAACTTATTCTGCAGATAAATAATGGTTTGTAACGGCCAATATTATTAAAACACCAACTTGATTATAAACATTGCTCACCGTAGTTAAAAATAATTTAAACTGACCAAGTGAATAAACAATGAACTGTTACATGATCGAAGCAATTAAATGACTTTTAATAATGTGAACATAACAAATGGGTTATCCAATCACTATATACATATCGTATTCTTTCTAATCTCATCACGAAGTGTCAACTTGCATGGTTATTAAAAGCAAATTGTAAGTCGACTGACAGCTACATTATCGAACATCTTATCTATTCCATCCACGATTAGAATTAAAAAGTACACACTAATAGAACCTTATCTAAGTTCTTCAAGTAGAAAATTAATTGTCATGATTTCCATCTGTAAAGTATTTTCATATCACTTTTCCATCAATCTAACTGTCATTATGTGAACACTTCTTGATACTTGAAAGTTCCGTTAACAGCATCATATCAATCTATTTATTCAGAAGGTTACTATATCCAATAAATCAATAGAAATATAATTAGAGAAGGATGGTAGCTAGCAGTGGAATACAGAAGTTTCTTGCTACATTTCATAGTTGCTGTAGGATTTTGAATTACTGGGACGTCGTTTACTACCACGATGCGTACCGATGACCGTCAGTAATTTGGTTTGTTACAGTTTGTATTTGCACGTGGAATCTAAAAGCTTTTAATGTTGATTATCAATAAACTAGAGCGTGTAGCTTTAACGAGTAAAAGTATTTGATTTAAGAACCGAATGTGACCACGTAATCAATAGATTCATAAATGTTCACCTTTCAAACAGACAGTGAACTGTCATCGTATCCAATGGTTGCTGTAAATGTACTATTGAGTGTAGGTAGTTTTGGTGATTAAATGATTACATGCATGCTCAATACAGCCGTAGCCAATTATTTCATAATTCACTACCAGATGTTTTATTTATGATAATCAGAAGTATTCAAATCAACGTACTAATTAATGATTCCCCAAATAGTGCAATTTAAATCATGTAGAACTAGATGAGCACAAATGAACGTATTATATTTTAGTGGCCCGGGATCTGACTCCAATAAGATCGTTTCTGAGTGCTATTGAGATACACATATAGTTATTCCTCGTATAAAATTATCGACTTAGATCGCGTTAGTGAATAATGGAATTAAATACGTCAAATACGAGAAAGGATTTCCGAATACATATATTTTGTTCAATCATTGATCTGAACAGATACTCAGAGAGACGCAGAGAAGAAGAGAGAGCGAAACGACATGCAGTGGAGAAGGCATGTGAGCCAACACCTTTTATTCAAGCGTTAATCAATAATTATAGTCACACAAAAATAAGCTACACATGTGATGAATAGGATAAAAAGTGTACACACACATACGCTGATATGAAAACAGCCAAGGTTGATAAGTGGATAATTGACAAGGTCAAAAAGTGACTCAAGTAGAATGAATAGATTAGCCTGTACAAAAGCTAGAATAAGGTATATGGGCTTAACATTTCAACCCACACTACAATATTTTGGCGATTGATCTTCTTGCACTGTCCAGCTATCAAACGGAGGTTTTCAAAAACAAACTAGATACAATAACACCCAGAGACAAAAGTAATTTATGACCAAAAGGGTGGAGAACTGTAAATTGTTTGGACCAAAACTGCAAACAAATACAACAGAAACAAAGTACTCAGAAGTATCGACGATATAGAAAAAGACGGTCAGTAACAGAAAGAAGTATATTTCTGTGTGAGCACAAGACATGAACACGCGTTTCGAGTTTAAGATTGGATAAGTCTAGACAAAGTAATCATCTATTGATCATATATCAAAAATAACTTGATGACTAGACACTTTAATCCTGGTAAACATGAAATTGTACAGATTCCCTGAAGATCCAAATGAATTTCTGTAAATCGCGATGAATGCAATTTAATATGGTAGACTTGAAGAAAGTTGTTTAAACTGATAGTATTGCATAGTTTAGTAAAGTCTACCTTAGATGACTCGACAGAATATGAGGAACATTGACTTCATAAGCATGACCCTTGTTCCTCACTCAACTTGAATGAATTTGATGTCAAAATATTAAATAAACAATTGGCAAGACAAGCAATATTAGGAATAAAACGGAAATAGTAGTGAAGAGAGCCCGTTAGTGAAAGCTTCCGAATTTGAATGTATATTCAACTGCCAAATTAAAGGCTCCATCGCGACGCCATAATAATAATTAGAAGTATCCAACCTGATTTGATAACTAAGAATTCCCGAAATAGTGCAATCTAAGGTGGATAGAACTCAATAAACACAACTGGACGCGTTATATTTGGAATTCGTAATAAGCTATGAATCGAGTGCAAAGGAATCATTATTTAGTACAAATACCACAATTATATATTGATTATACATTGATGTGAAAAATTCTAATCTGTAATTATTTATTGACTGACCGTCTGGTTCGGTTACATTGGAAACAGTAAGTGCAGATCAATATTTCAAGCAACTAGTGAAGTAGAATTACTTACCAATCTTCAAATATTTGAAATTTATAGAACGCTATTATCCAGTGTCTTTGGTTTATTGAAATCATAATTTCTGTTCAACCTCAAGCTTATCCTGTAGTTATGTAAGTCGGATGCAGTACAACACGTACATGGGAGTATGGCCACAAAAATTTCGAATTTCTAAGCAATGTTGGACATGGATTACAGCAATATTACTTCACAACAATTAGTAAAGTTTCCAAATAATTTTGGTTAAAAATACTTTATATTGCGAAGCCGTTCAGAAGTGTACTAATGTTGAAAACCCATCAGTGCATAGAACCAAAGGGATTTAGAAAACAAGCATAAATCGAAGTACGAAAGCTTTTTAAGAACCAATAAATGTATCGAGTATCACAAATTTAACCAGCAAACGTTATCGATTAGAGAAGACGTTGACCCCAACAATCAAGTTGCGGGTTTCAGATTATTTATGTGATAAGTAAACAAACTGGTGAAAGGAATATTTCAGAAATACTCTCAGTAAAGTACAGTTTGGGATGAATTCGCGTCTGAATACATGCAGCACGTATCATGAAATTTTGAAAATTTCGATTGCTTTACACGAAAATCACAGTTTGTAGTTCAGTTTTCACCAAACAACCTAAGTTACCTGCTTTCAACTAATAAGAAAATGAGCCGAACACACAAACAGTCTGTTGACTGTGCTTTTGATGTCCTTGCCAAGTAACCATGATTGTGTATAGAAGTAAAATTATCAAGTACGACGTCACTAATGGTCAGTTGTGACTTGTAGTGAATAGTATTAGTATGGAAGCACCAGGATTTCACTAGAATTTGGTAGTGTTTTCTAGAGAGTTCTGGTGAATAGGGCGTAATATGTGTTGACACAGAGCGAACATATGTGAACGTAGACTAGACAGGGCGAGAGAAATCTAGAACTTTCGAGAAAATGTCCTTCAATGACCAATCAGATTTGGACTTAATTACATTGTAGAAATATTAGCGTTCTGATTGGTTGTTACCCGTTTAGAGGTCATTGAATAATTTCTCTCACCCACCACTATATAAGTAAGTTAAACAGTCGGGCATTCAACGCATATTGTTGTTATATCTTTGTTATCGTGTTGAATATGTCTGGTGGGCAACATCATCAAGCAGTTAGTATTCCTGTGAATCGTGAGCAACGGTCATTTGAAAGGCAGAGACGTGACCTGTTAACTGGCCTGGAACATGGAGGTGGTACTCATCGTGGCAACCTAATCGCACCGTACACGGAAGACTGGCCGAGTACTGTGGACAGCTGGATCAACTCCTCGTGGAGGAGATGGGATGAAGACATGCGACGTTTGAGACGTGGAATGTTCGCGCTATTAGTGAGTTTTGCTATTCAGTGTTCAGGTGACCATTAATGCATATGATTTCTTGAGATAATGTTTATCATTTGTGTATGTTAGGAGTGCAATAATGCATTATGTGGACAGATTTCGCATTAAATTCGAGGAGAGATTTGATGAGCTCTGTATGTTCTTTGAATTTCAGCCGTTGGACAACTTCACCCACGGTATTTGGGAGAATCCATTCGCTTTAATGCACCAAATGGATCGTCATATCCAGGATATCCGAGAGAGAATGGGCTCAATGGATGTTCCGTCGACCGGTTCAGTGAGTGACTTTTTGAAGGACGCCTACGAAATAGGTGAGGATGGCAAGGTGAGTCTGTGCTGACGAGCAGGTAGGTTGTGTTTATTGTTTTGTGCAGTTGGTTTGAACATGGCCGTTGATTGACGAGTGTTATTATGGTTGTTGTTTATTGCGTAGGTACATTTCAAGGTACGATTCGACGCACAAGGTTTCGCTCCTCAGGACATCAATGTGACGTCGAGTGAGAACCGTGTGACGGTACACGCGAAGAAGGAGACGACGACCGATGGTGGGAAGTGTAGTCGGGAGTTCTGTCGTATGGTGCAGCTGCCGAAGAGTATTGATGATAGTCAACTGAAATGTCGCATGACAGATGTAAGTTGTTGAGTTGACGACTGTGGTTGGTGGTGGTGGTGGTTTTGTGTGTGTTGTATTTGCAGTTGTTTGCATTCCGAATCATGTTAGAATAGTTGGAAGTCTCGTTTCATCTTGTTCTGTGCGTTTGTTTGTCTATCCGTTTCAGGATGGTGTTTTGATGTTGGAGGCTCCAGTGAAGGTTGATCAGAACCAGTCGTTGACGCTGAACGAGTCTGGTCAGGTGGGTGTTCGACCGAAATCGGACAATCAGATTAAGGCAGTTCCTGCGTCTCAAGCACTTGTTGCAAAAGGTGAGAGGAGTTGTGATCGATCTGGTGGGTGTGTTATTCTCGTTTGTGTGTGTTGCATTTTCCTAACATTATATTTTTTTCCTATGCATTTCAGGTGTTCATGGTCTATCGTATGTGGATGATGGTTCAGGTGGCAAGCGATTGCATGTTGAGGTTCCAGTGGACCCAGTGTACAAGCCTGAAGACTTGTGTGTGAATGTTGATTCGAATCGTGTTGTGGTTAGTGGACGTCATCATAAGCAGGAGAGTGGTCAATATGGAAAGTCAAGTTCATTTGCAGAGTTCAGTCAGTCGTATGCGATTCCCGAGACAGTTGATCCGTTATCTGTTTCTGCTCAGGTAGTTGGCAATACATTGGTATTGGAGGCGCCATTGGAGAAGCAACATGCGATTACTCATTAGGAGCTAAATAGTACGAACTGGATTTACGATGATTGTGGTGAAGATGGTGATAATAATAATGGCGATAATCATGCTTGCGTGTTTGTTTTTATTTCCTAATATATGAATTTACCTACTTGCTATTTGCTTTCATAACCGTGAAATGTTTATGGCCTGAGTCTTGGTAATTGATTGGGTCGGACAACAGGTGGTTTTTCGAGTTATATTTATGCTTTAACATTTGTCATGTATCAGATTGAGATTTAGTGTGAAATGTGCTTTCATGCGAATGAATTTTATTAGGATTACGGTGCAGTGAATTTCGACGTGTGACACCAACTAGTGCTCTTTTTACTCAGATGGAAATAGTCGTTTATTGACTACATAAACTCTGGATTTTACGATTGCTTATGAAGATTAGTTACCAGTATTTGTGTGTAATACACCGATTAAAGCTTGGAATAAATTGTGGCTGAATCGGAAGGCTTAGTTCTGGTGATTTTAATGGGAAGTGAATGACTCATATGGAAGTATGGATTACCAAACATCACGCCTCCTATATTTACGATTGTTCTCGTTCTTCTCAACAAACCGAACATTTATCCAGACCGTTTGTGAGATTTGGGTGATCTTAGAAGTGGATCGTTCTAGCGATAATTGTGACTGTCTCGGGATTGATAAACTTTGGTCTCTTAGATCCAGTTTGTGTTGTTGCGCAACCCCAAGCGGCATATCGATGAGAGTGATTAGACTAGCGTGCTCCGGTAGGTCGGAAGTTCGGAACTGTTCGCTTCTTACTTACTTACGCCTGTTACTCCTCGTGAAGGAGCATAGGCCGCTCACCAGCATTCGCCATTCAACCCTGTCCTGGGCAATCCTTTCCAGCTCCTTTCGGTTGTTATTCGTCCTTTTCATATCTGCTTCTACTATCCGACGTAATGTGTTCTTAGGCCTTCCTCTTTTCCGCTTCCCTTCAGGATTCCAAGTTAGGGCTTGTCTCGTGATACAGTTTGACGATTTGCGTAATGTATGTCCTATCCATTTCCATCGTCTTTTCCTAATTTCTTCTTCAGCTGGAAGTTGGTTTGTTCTCTCCCAAAAAATACTGTTGCTGATGGTATCCGGCCAATGGATGTTGAGTATTTTGCGAAGACAGCTATTTATAAATACTTGTACCTTCTTGATTGTGGTTGTTGTAGTTCTCCAAGTTTCAGCTCCGTACAATAGAACTGCCCTGACGTTGGTATTGAAGATTCTCACTTTGATATTGGTTGGAAGTTGTTTTGAGTTCCGTATGTTCTTCAATTGTAGGGATGCGACCCTTGATTTGCCGATCCTTGCCTTTACGTCTGCATCTGAGCCTCCTTGTTCTTCGATGATGCTTCCCAGGTATGTGAAGGATTCTTCGCCTGTAGCTCTTCTAGGGTTACTGCCGGTCCCAAGCCCGGGTAAAGGAGGAGGTTTGGGCATGGGGTTAGCGTCCCCATTCCATAGAAAACTAACTCGCTAAAAAAACGCTTACCAGAACTGTCCGCTTCACAACTACTAAAAACAATCACAAAGCGAATCGTCATTATTGTATCCTCCTGATAATTGTTTGAGACAAACCAGTGAATGAAACAATATCCTGACTGTTTGTCAAGAAATGTTCAAACCTATACATTGCATAATCAAGAAATCAGATCATATGATCGTCGAAGTGGGTCTGTTGAACGGGAGTGTCCACTCAACTGGATGTTGAAGGAAGTCTGAAATATCAATCATGCAATTTCAGTCACTCTTCAAATGAAATTTTGTGCCGAATCGTCACAGTTACTTTTATTGTTTAGAATTTAACTTTAACCATTCCTAAGTGCATTCAAAAGTTGTTTGTCATGTGCTTCATTTTATGAACTTCACGTAGTAATAGTGGAAAGATGAGTAACTGCCACTGCGGACAATATCACAAAAGTTCAGTACAGCTTTTCTTCGGGATTCTGACAAACTGAGCAAATTCAAGATAGTCCTCAACAATAAGTTCCAGGCAATTCATGATCTACTCAATGGAGAAGGAACTACTGTGGAGAGCAACTGGAAGGGGATAAAAGAGGCAATCACTACAACATGCCATGAGGTCCTGGGTCACAAGAAACACCATCACAAGGAATGGATCACTGTTGATACACTGGATAAGATTCAAGAAAAGAGGAACAAGAAAGCAGCAATCAATACCAGCCGAACAAGAGCAGAAAAAGCCAAGACACAAGCTGAATACACAGAAGTAAACGAGCAAGTGAAGAGGAGCATCAGAACCGACAAACGTAAATATGTGGAAGATTTAGCAACGACGGCGGAAAAGGCTGCAAGAGAAGGAAACATGAGACAACTGTATGACATAACAAAGAGACTCTCTGGAAATCGCTGCAAACCTGAACGACCAGTGAAAAGCAAGGAAGGCAAGGTAATCACCAACATTGAAGAGCAACGAAACAAGTGGGTAGAACACTTTCAAGAACTCTTGAATCGACCAGCTCCACTGAACTCACCCAATATCGAAGCAGTACCCACGGACCTCCCAATCGATGTTAGCCCACCAACAATTGAAGAAATCAGCATGGCCATCAGACAAATCAAGAGTGGCAAAGCAGCAGGACCAGACAACATCCCGGCAGAGGCACTAAAAGCAGACGTAGCAGTAACTGCAAGGATACTCCACCTTCTCTTCAATAAGATTTGGGATGAGGAACAAGTACCAGAAGACTGGAAGGAAGGACTACTGATCAAAATACCGAAGAAAGGCGATCTCATCAACTGTGATAACTACAGGGGCATCACTCTTCTCTCAATACTAGGAAAAATTCTTCAACAGGGTATTGTTAAACAGGATGAAGGACTGTGTAGACGCCCAACTTCGAGACCAACAGGCAGGATTTCATATGGATAGATCGTGTACAGACCAAATCGCAACTCTACGGATCATTGTGGAACAATCAATCGAGTGGAATTCATCACTCTACATCAACTAGTTCATTGACTACGAGAAAGCATTTGATAGCGTGAATAGGACAACACTATGGAAACTTCTTCGACACTACGGCGTGCCTCAGAAGATAGTCAATATCATACGGAATTCCTATGATGGATTAAACTGCAAAATTGTGCATGGAGGACAGTTGACAAAGTCGTTCGAAATAAAGACCGGTGTCAGGCAAGGTTGCTTACTCTCACCCTTTCTCTTTCTCCTGGTGATCGACTGGATCATGAAGACGTCAACATCTGAAGGGAAACACGGGATACAATGGACATCTAGGATGCAGTTGGGCGATCTAGACTTCGCAGGTGATCTGGCTCTTCTATCCCAAACGCAACAACAAATGCAGGAGAAGACGACCAGTGTAGCAGCAGCCTCAGCAGCAGTAGGTCTCAATATAAACAAAGGGAAAAGCAGGATTCTCCGATACAACACAGAATGCACCAATCCAATCACAATTGACGGAGAAGATTTGGAAGATGTAAAAACCTTTACGTATTTGGGCAGCATCATTGGTGAACAGGGTGGATCTGATGCAGATGTGAAGGCACGGATCGGCAAAGCAAGAGCAGCATATTTACAACTGAGGAACATCTGGAACTCGAAGCAACTGTCAACCAACACCAAGGTCAGGATTTTCAATACAAATGTCAAGAGAGTTCTACTGTATGGGGCAGAAACCTGGAGAACTACGAAAGCCATCATCCAGATAATACAGGTGTTTATTAACAATTGTCTACGCAAAATACTTCAGATCCATTGGCCAAACACTATTAGCAACAACCTACTGTGGGAGAGAACAAAACAGATCCCAGCGGAGGAAGAAATCAGGAAGAAGCGCTGGGAGTGGATAGGACACACATTGAGGGAAGCACCCAACTGCGTCACAAGACAAGCCCTCACATGGAATCCTGAAGGCCAAAGGAAAAGAGGAAGACCAAAGAACACATTACGCCGGGAAATGGAAATAGACATGAGAAAAATGAGCAAGAATTGGATGGAACTAGAAAAGAAGGCAGAGTGGGACAGAGTGGGTTGGAGAATGCTGGTCAGCGGCCTATGCTCCATTAGGAGTAACAGGCGTAAGTAAGTAAGTAAGCAACTGAACCAATCCATCAAATGGAACGATTAAATAGACTCGAACGGCGGTCCACCGACTCTTCGGTGTTTAGCCTCTAAATGATCGCTTTTGTAAACGCTGATAAAATACAGACAGATTTCCTATTTTGTGAAATGGGACAGCGGACACAATTGACTGATCACTGGGTGGTGATCAATGTCATGCTTGTCTAGTCCTTATTAGTGCAGATCGAATGCTATCGATCATGTTGCAATGTGGCTACCAGTCTAGGTGACTCGACACCGCGGGCACTATATATTGAGATTTAGATGGTGGTTGGAGGTAGTCAACAGGAAACCCTGGACCCAGGTTTCGTGCTACTTGGCACTCGTCAGTAAGGTGTACCTGTAATCTTCAGGGAACTGGTGCTCCCTGGCGGATTCGATCTCGTGTCACCCAGCTTCACAGTCAGAGACGTTATTATTGAGCTATCCGAGCCGCGACTGACCTCCTGTAGGACTGAGATGTAATCACAATTGATTGATCACTGTGGACATCACAGTGGACATTTATGATAATACATTGATGTTGGCTGAATCAATTAATTTTCTCATTCAAATCTCTTCCCAAACCCGAGTGCAGTCAAGATGTAGAACAGCACTTAAAGAATTCGAGATAGCAGAAAAACGTAAGAATTTCTTTGATGCGTTTATAAAAAAGTATTCGGTTAGTGAATTAACTCGATTCTTATCACGGATTTCCTATTTGTGTGAGAAACAAAGCATTTTTTTGTCTAATAAACAAACAATAGTTCATTTCGAACTTTGACATTCATAAACTAGAAGACCGCGTCAGGTTACCACACACTAACCTCACGTGATTCCATGGCTAGTCAAACAGTGAGTTTTCATTCTATTTTCGGAGACTGATTGACAGTAATCCATGCAATTTCTTTATTTTCAGCTGATAATATTGAACTTAAATACCAACATGCGCTGGAGTCTACGAAGTCTAGATGGGATAAGTTAAAAGTACTGAAATCATCAAATTAAATTGCTCGGAAGCAGGTCATTGATCCTGCTTATATCATTACTGGTAGGTTAAGAAAATGAGAATAATGAAACTACCATTACACGTCAAGACTAAGGGAGGATTGGTTAAATTACTCAAGGAATATGCAAAATATACCTGAAAGAGAAAGAAACAACATTTCTATTTTATTTAGTCATTATAGAAGACGGAAAAGCTGATGAAGTTGAAGACGGCAGTTCATATGTCTCTATCGGTATATGCGTATTGTCAGAACGTTTCCTTAATATTGCAAATTAGTCTCGAGGCGACCATTTTACGATGCACAAATAGCAATAAAGAATGATCAATTTCAG